AGACCAGGCTGGTCTTGAACTCACAAAGATCCACCTACCTCTGCCTCCCGAGTGCTTGGATGAAAGGGGTGTGCCACCAACACCTGGCCAACTTTATGCCATTTTTTAAAAAATTACATATATGGAGCTAGAGAGCTGCTCTTACAGAAGACATGAATTCTGTTCTCAGCACCCTCTTGATGATTCATACCATCTGAAACTCTGGTTCCAGGGAATACAACACTTTGGACAGCCACAGACACCAGGCATACACATGAAGGGGCATGTGCGCACACATACACACACATGTATGTATAAGTGTGCATATATATGTATATATATATATATGCATATATATACTCATAAAGTCAGTCTAAAGTTTTTTTACATAAAATAATAAATAATAAAAATTATATGTATATGTGTTAAGTATGGATTTGTGTCCATGAGAGTATATGTATATGTATATGTACATGAGAGTATGTATATGTGAGTGTAAGTATGGATTTGTGTCCATGACAGTAGTGCCAATTGAGGCTGCTGTGAGCTAGCTACCTGGTGTGGGAGCTGGGCGTTGAACTCAGGTCCTCTGCAACAACAGCAATTGCTCTTAACTGCTGAGCCATCTCTCTAGCCCGTACACCTTGATTTTTTTTTTTTTAACTCTTCTTTTTCCCCTTAATGAGTCTGAACATTCTCCATATCTGGTGATAAAGATTTGCTATAATGGTTTGATGGCTATACCCTGATATGTGTGATAACTGGTTTACCACTCGTCTGTCATTACTCTAGGACTCTTATAAAAAAGGAATTTGGACTTGCTCCCAGAAGTCACGGATGGATTAAATTATTATACATCACACTTATATTTGGCTGACCTGGAACTCATGCATGGGAGTAAGGCCACAGGCCAATGTCCAGCTTGCTTATTAGCTGCTGTGGCAGTAGAGGGGGTTAAGGGGAGCGAGAGCAGAGGCTGAGCTTTTTCTTGGTTGACAGACTGCTGCTTCTCTCACAAGACCTAGAAATGAAACCCTTCCCTCTGGATGTCGCTCAAGCTGTCCTTGGCACATGTGTGCATGGTCTGTAGGTTTCTGTGATCTCTGGAGCATGGCTGAGGGAATGCTGCTTTAGAAATTGGAGGGCCTGGGCTGAATCTGTGCCTCTTCCAATGAAATAAGAGGTTGCTTTTAAAAATAGAGCCCATCTGGATCTGCCTTGTGGCTAACCTCGTTTTCATGGAAGCCACCTACAAAGACAAATAGAATTAGTTGATCTGGGTTAACTTGGTTCTGGCTGGTTGAAAGTTTGTTCACATTTAAGGAATAAGTTGGACAAGACTGGTGATAGCTGAAGGTCTTTAAGTATTTTGTAGAAACAGGAAAATCTGTCTTTTCCTTTTTCCCAGTGCTGGAATGGGACACAGGGCCTCATGTACCCAACCCTACCACTGAGGGTTACTTCCCAGGCCCTAAAAATGTGCCAGTGAAAGCTTTCTTCTGAGCATGCGTGCTCCCCAGAAGCAGCGCACTGGGTCTCAGTGCACATGTGACTCCCCTGAAGATCCCATTCATGCAGAGATTCGGAAGCCACCTGTCACAGGATCTGGGTCTGCATTCACACAGAGCCCTCTCCCTGGCATTGCAGATGGGCACTTCCTGCTGAGCAGGGGGGAACTGGAGCTTTTCTTGTGTTAGTTTACCAGCTCTTCCGTGTGTGCTGTCATCCCTCTTGTGTCCTTTCAGAGTCTGGACTATGACCGATGCATCAATGACCCTTACCTGGAGGTATTGGAGACCATGGATAATAAGGTGAGCCTGCTCCTGGTCTCTTAGGACTGAAGAGGTCTCAGCAGCTTGTTTCCTGTCCTCATGTGACCCAATAAGTGTCCTTTCTCTTTTTTTCTTTAAGCCTTTTCATGAAAGAGTGGTGTTTAAATCCTTAGACCCTGCTGCTGAGATGTATCAGCAGGAAAAGGCTCCTGCTGCCTGGCCTGACAACCTGCATTTCATCCCCAGGACTCAGATGGTGAAAGGAGAGAACACACACACCATACACACTCTCTCTCACACACACTCACACACTCTCTCTTACACACACACACACACACACACACACACACACACACACGTGCGCGCGCTCGCAGTCCCACCCATACATACAAAACCCCTAGACTTTCTCCTGCCATTCAGTGTATGCCCCCAGTCTGTTTACGCAGCTGAGCCCTGTAAGGTTCATTAGCGTCGTTGTGAGGCACCTGAGGTTGTCCCTCCTCACCGTGCTTGCTGTCTTCTGTAGGTTTAGTTCAGAGCTGGTTAGCCAAGATGCATCCTTTCCCTGTCACAAATGTTCCTATTCTTTTCCCTTGCGAACAGAAAGGGCGAAGATACGAGGTGGTGAAATGGATGGTGGTGTTTGCCATTGGCGTCTGCACTGGGCTGGTGAGCAGTGGGCTGTGGGGAAATGGCAAGCTGGATGGGTTGAGGGCTTGGAGGGAAAGCCTTTTGTGGTGAATGGCCTTTGTCATTTGTCGCTGTAACAATTGTAGCATTGGGATAACTGTCACTCTGTGTAAGACTGCCTTGTTCTTTTGGAAATTAATTCTGCTGGCCTGGTTTTTTCCACATTGCTTTTGCTTTTGCTTTTGCTTTTGCTTTGTACTGCAAAAGTGAGTCACAGGTGCTGGGCTATCCAAGCATTTAAGGTTTACTTGGTCAGAGTTTAATGTCAGTCATATGATTATAGAGCATGACTCGTGCCAGCTTCATGGTGACACGGAGCACACAGCAGATAGAGGGTGTGGAGGTCACACTGTCCCGCTGATATTGAGTTGTTAGTGGTAGGTGAAGGGGTGTGATAGAAGGCACAGGTGTGTCATAGACAGGGAAAGCTGCTCAGATCACCAGAGATAATGGTAGCAGTTATGTCTGGTGCCATAACCACTTATCATTAAAACCAGAGAAGAGAAGGTGGAAAAGTCATCGCCCAGCGGGAAGACATATGCCACGTCTGTCAGGAAAATGGCAGAGAGGGGCTCACCTCCTTTCTCAGAACTTGGCCACAAGTCTTGGGCTTATTTCTCCATCACACATAGGTAATGTGCACATTTCATGTCACACAGCTTTAAGGGACAACCAGTCTCCATTCACATGGTACCCATGAGAGTTTTACTGTTATAAATTCCCAAGGGACATCTAGTGGCAGGAGCACAGTTGGGAGGCTTGTTTGATCCTATTCTAAGGGCATCACAGGGCATGAAGTTGGGTTGGTTTAGTTGTTTTATGTAATTTCAGTGTGCATGGTGGGCATGGGGACTAAGAACAAATACACCTGTCCTGTGTATTTCTGGTGGTGGCTCTCCCTGTAGTAAGCATCATTTGCATGTTGAAGTGAGTTTTTCCTTGTAACTGCCTCATCAGTATCCTCATCCCCATAGGCGCTGAGAAGGCCGCCGCCTCTGTTATGTGGCTGCTGCAGCCCTAGCTCTTCTCTCTCCCTTTGATCTGTCTCCACTTTCTGCTTCAGTTAAAAGGCTTCTAGGCATTAGCTGGAGGGAGCTAGAAGTCTTTGATCCCACTCTCCCATATTCGAAGGTTCCCAGGCCTCCCTTCAACTCTGTGCAGTGAAACAGTGGTCAAAATAACGACTTAGAAAATAAGAATACCAGACCACCTATGCCCAAGGAAATGCCCTCTAAAGTAACATTCTAAGCTATATGCTTACCCAGTTGGGCACCACCAACGACATTTGGCTATTCTTTTGAGTCCTCCTTTGGAGGAGGACTCAAAATTGCCCAGTGGCTCCCCACATCCCTCAGCCTTACCCTCTCTAACCGAAGGAAAGACTCTTCCCATCTTGTCCTGTGCCTTCTTCTTTTACTCTGCTTCACTTGCTCTTTTCTTTGGAAAGGCAGTGGGGCCAGGCTGGGCAGATCTGTGACCAGCAGAGAGTTCACACCCCCCATTGCTGCTGGTTCCATGAGCAACCACTGGACTCAGTGAGGGAGGGTGAGGCTCTTAAGGGAGAGATGAAGATGTGTGACTGTCTCTTTCTTCTCTTCGCAGGTGGGTCTCTTTGTGGACTTCTCAGTGCGGCTGTTCACCCAACTCAAGTTCGGAGTTGTTCAAACCTGTATCCTTTTTATGGCTCCATTGTTTCAGGCCCCACGATTCTTGAGACTTGCTTTAACAGTGAATGTGGTATTTTAAAGGCTATTTGTTAGCCATTCAGCCAAGAGGTTTTATTTTATTTATTTATTTTATTTTTTTCAGTTTTTTGAGACAGGGTTTCTCTGTATTGCTTTGGAGGCCGTCTTGGAACTCACTCTGTAGACCAGGCTGGCCTCCAACTCACAGAGATCTGCCTGCCTCTGCCTCCTCAGTGCTGGGATTAAAGGTGTGAGCCATCAACACCTGGCTAGCCAGGTTTTTAATTATCACTAAAGGGCAGGAAAGCAAGACCTTTTTTGAGACAGGGTCTCATGATAAAGTCTTGGAGATACAGGAACTCGCTATGTAGACCAGGTTGCCTCAAACTCAGAGATCCACCTGCCTCTGACTCTGCCATTGCCTCTGCCTCCCAGGTGCTAGAATTAAAGGTGTGCACTACTGCACCCAGCTTAGGAGAGGAAGACTTTAATTGGGAAGTTAATGCTCTAGGTGGGTAAGACACAAATGCCCAGAGAAGTCTTTGCTCCCGAGGCTGTGCTTGCATTCAGTGTTCTGATCAGAATTCCCTAGAATTCCTCACAGAACTCAACCCTGGTCTTTTTACAGCAATCTGAAAGACTAAAGGACCAACGTTATGGAGATAGCGTGAATAACAAGCAGGCGGTGGGATCCTACTATTGTCAGGACAAGAGAATTCAACAAGATGTTGCCACTTGCAGACATATCCTATTGGTACAGGAACACCAACTAGAGAAGCAGAGCGTAGTCTACACAGGTTGAAATGTGACTGACAGTCATGGTTAACAGTCACTGGGGAAGGTCTGGATTGTCCAGTAAAGGGTGCTGGGCATTGGTAGTCACTGGCTACATGGAAAATTGTAGATTCCCTACTCATAGAGTTAACTTCTAGATAGATTGAGGTCTGTGTTATCTTGTAGTTCAGTTGTGTTTTTGAAACAGGGTCTCTTGTAGCTCAGGCTGGCCTCAAACTCTTTGTAAGGCAGAGGCTGGCTTGGAACTGGTGATAGACCTGCCTTAGCCTCCCAAATGCTGGGATTACAGGTCTGCACCAACTCTGTGGTTTTGGGTTGAAGATATAAAAGAGCAATGCAAGAGACTGAATGATGACAGGCATAAGTTTTTAAAACTCCAGAGGCACAGGTTGGAGGCAAAGACATTATCTTAGTCCTTGATTTTAAAGCTTGACCACATTAAATACTTCATTTAACATTAAAGGAAACACTCCCTTTATGAATCAAATAAGAAAATCCCAAACAACAATAAGCAAATGCTATAAACAAAGGGAAATCTGAGTTCACAGCCTGAGATAGGCTATTCCTGCATTTAAGAAACAAATTGTAATCTCAGCTACCAGGGAGGCTGAGGCAGGAGCTGTGCAAGTCCCAGGCCAGCCTGGGCAACATAGACCATGCCTGAAAATGAAAAGCAGAACAGAGGCTGGGCCTGTAACATAGTAGCAGAGCACTCTTGTAGCAAGTACAAAGCTGTTTTAACAATCTGTACCACAGGAGAGACAGACAGACAGCTCAATTCACACATCTAGAAGAATGCTTATATTGTATCAGAACACAGTCAAACCACCCAAGGAGTTCCCAGAGGAAGACATGGAATGGCTAGCAGGCTCTGGCCAGAAACAGGAGCATTCACATTCCTCTATTGTGGCTTTTAAATTCCTCAGATGTGGACTTTAGATACACTAAAGACAGCTTTCGTGACAGCTTTATGGCAGCAGACATTTGAATCACCAAATGAGGGAATGGAGAAATTATGGTTCATTCATGCACTGTAATTGTATGCGGAAGTTAAACTAAATAAGCCACAGCTGTGTGTGTCAACATGGCTAATTCTCAGGCAGCGTCGCACTGAGAGACGCTGTGTGATGGTACAGTAGAGATTTGTAGGGACACAAGGTACATGGCAAGTGGGGCCCAGTTGTTTCAGGTTACTGGTGTCCCCTGAGTGGTAGGGAGGAAAAAGAAGTTTTGAGTGGGATAACTTTATTTTTAGTGATAGCCAAAATGTTGAGGTTTGTTCAAGTTGGGCTTTGGGAGGTGTTGGTCACTTTTGTAATGTTTGGGGTGGGGAATTCTGTAATCTTAAATTTTTTAATTTATTTTGTGTATGGGGTTGGGTGTGCACATGCTGCTATGTGTGGAAACAAAGGATAACTTGTCATCTCCTTCTACTATGTGGATCTCAGGGATCGAACACAGGCTGTCGGCCTTGGCAGCAAGCACCTTTACCCACAGAGCTGTTTGACCAGCCCAGAAAGTGACTCTTTTTTGTTTGTTAGTTTTGGGACAAGGTTTCATTTAGCCCTAACTGGCCTGGAATGTGCCTGTGTAGACCAGGCTGACTTTGAGCTCACAGAGACCCATCTGCCTTTGCTTGGACTAAAGATATGCACTGCCACACCCAGCTAACAGGGTTGGTACAGGGCTGGAGAGATGGCTCAACAGTTAAGAGCACTTGCTGCTTTTCCAGAGGACCTGGGTTTTATGCCTATCACCCAGAACCTCACAACTACCTCACAAGCTCACCACCACCTGTAAGTCCAGCTCTGAGGACCCAACACCTTCTGACCTCTTTGGGCCTTCACACAAGTGCACATACACCTGTTTTCACCCACCCCCACCCCCAACCCCCCACATGTTTAGAAGTTGTTGTACATGGAACATTGGGAGATATGCACTGAGCTGTCGTCATGGCTGCCATGTCTCACACGATTATGGACACTCTTATGGCTAAGAGTACTTTTCCTTTTCCTTGACTCAACCTCTAGCCGTGGAGGAGTGCAGTCAGAGAGGCTGCCTTGCCCTGTCCCTCCTTGAACTCCTGGGTTTTAACTTGACCTTTGTCTTCCTGGCGAGTCTTCTTGTCTTGATAGAGGTAAGGTGATTTGGAAATTGACTGACTGTGAACACCGTGTCCTTTTTTTTTTTTTTTATTCACTCTGTAGACCAGGCAAAGATCTGTGTGCTTAATGTTCTTCGGCTACATGTTGGGAAACAGGTACATGAGGCTTGTAGGGTTTGCAGAGATTCTCTGTTTGCTCACCTGGAGATGTTTCTAGTAGCAAAGCCTTCAGTGTTTGGGGAGAATAGTGAGGAATGTACAGATGGGAAAGGTTCTTTGTATCCTCATGACCTTGGGATGCCCTGGAGAGTGGTTTGCGATGTGTAGATCAGAGTCTGGGAAGATGAGTCTGCATGAGGTCAGACCCCACGTTCAAGAGCCCGTTAACATGCTGAGTCAGGGGTCAGGCGGAAGTCCAGCGTCTGTGGCTGAATAAGTCCTCAGAAATCGGATGCTGGGAAGGAAGACAGTGGGTGTCCCTGCTTAGTTTTCTGGCTTGTTGAGTGTAAGCTTCGGAGTGGGTTTTCATTCATTTGTGTGTTTCCTTCCCCAACAGCCAGTGGCAGCAGGTTCTGGAATCCCTGAGATCAAGTGCTATCTGAATGGTGTGAAGGTGCCAGGAATTGTCCGGCTCCGGACCCTGCTCTGCAAAGTCTTTGGGGTGCTGTTCAGTGTGGCTGGAGGTGAGGAGAGGTTTTCTACTCTTGCCATCAAGTGTTGAAGGCATCCTGTGCTTTGATGAGATGTGGGCTTATGGCTGCCCTCACCCGTGTCTGTACTTCTGTGTGCATTAGTTGCTTGTCTCTGTGACCCAGTACTTGACAGAAGCAACTGAAGGCTGGAGGGGTTTGTTTTTGTTCACAGTTTCCGAAGGACTTCAGTCCATCCTAGCTGGACAGACAAGGGACAGTTCAGGATGGAGGGAGTATGTTGTGGGCGTCAGGAAGCAGGAACCAGGCTGGGCTGTGAGCTTTGGAGGGCCACCTCCAAGTTACCCACCTGCCAGCCATGCCCCACGTCCTGAGGTTCCACAGCCTTCAGAACAGCACTGCACACTGGGGGCTTCAAAATGTGAGCCTGCTGGGGAAATCTCAGGTTCAGACCACTCAATTTTGTTCCCTTTGGGCCTTGCCTTACCTTTCTCTTTTTTTTTCTCCCCCTTCCCCCCCCCCAAATTCTCCTTTATCTCTCTCTTTCTTTCCTGAGATAGCATCTCATTATATAGCCCAGGCTGACTTGTCTGTGGGCTTTCAAATGCAAACACTGTACATTTCAGTCCCTGATACTCAGTGAAGATACTACCAACCATTCGGTTTTAGAGTGGTCTTGGTTTATAGGGTTGGCTCTGGCAGTCAGCAGAGGTTTCATGTAAGTGTCAGATGGCAAATGATTTAGCCTTTGCTGGCCAAGAGAGAAATCAAGGATACAGTGTAGGAACTTGTAGAATCAGGTACAATGCATACATTTCAGAATCCCGGCTATTAGGACTCTTGAGGTAGAAGGATCAGGATCACTGAGGTAAGAACCTGAATGATGAGAGAAGCAGAAGAGAATCAACTTCCCTTGTTTAGTTTCCTTCCTTACCAGTAATAGTTTGTAACCAACCCCCCAACGCACCCCCCCCCACAATTGATTATTAAAGTCCATAATCCACCAAATGATCAAAACCCACCAACCTCACCTACTGGGAATGTCAGCATTGTGTTCTAAAATGACTTCCTGTTGTCTGGGGGCGACAGCATCTTTGGGGGACTCTGAGAAGGTTGAGATAATGGTCACATCCTGGGAGAGCTGCTGTTGTCCAGTCTCAGTGTGACAGGAAAGTGCAGGGCTCATCTGACCGTCTCAGCTAACCGCCTTGAAGTGTCCTGAGAAATTTATAGTTCAGAGCTGATCTTTGGGTGGTGGTTGTCAACTTTGGCATTCCCGCCATCCAGATGGGGGTACATATCATTTGGTGGTCACTTTTGAATGCTGACTGAATAAATTTAGGTTAGTTTTCTAATAACCTTGGGCCACTCCTCTTTATAGTGCAATGCTGAGTTAGGTTCTGCTCTAACTCTGTGTGTGAATATTTTTCTTAATTTCATTAGTTGGTCTTTCTAAGAATTGTATCTTACTAGTCAATTTTTCATATTTGGCACAGATATCAAACCACTTTTTAAAGGCTAAAACATGAATTACCAAACTGATAATTGTTGCTGGTGTTTTTTGTCCTGCCAGGTCCCACCGCCCTTCTCAGCCCCAAATAAGCACACAGAGACTTATATTAATTATTAAACTGTTGGCTGATGGTTAGGACTTCTTAATTGGCTAACTCTGTCTTAATTGTTAACACATTTCTATAAATCTATGTGCTTCTGCATGCCCTTATCTTACCAGAGAGCGCCTGGCGATAGTCCTTTCCTCCTGGTCTCTACATGGTGTCTCTTTGGTCTCTCTCTGCCTACCTTTCCCAGAATTCCCCTCATCTCCTAGCCCCTCCTTTCCTCCTGCTTCTATTGTCCAAAGTGTTTTAGTCATCAACCAATAAGAGAAACATACATATATACAGAAGGACATCCTCCATCAGATAATGATTATAATCAATATTATGTTAATCCCAGCTAAGTTGATTATCCCTTCATTTAATTTTCCCATGTTCATACCATTCACTATGGAACCATAAAGAGACCTAACTCCCTACAGTGTAATATTGTAGACCAGGCTGGTCTCAAACTCACAGAGATCTGCCTGCCTCTGCCTCCCGAGTGCTGGGATGAAAGGCGTGGGCCACCATCTCCTGGCTTGTTCTCCATTCTTAACATGGCAAAAACTTTTTTTTTTTTTTTTAAAATAATTCCCTGGAATAGTTCAGTTAAGAGCATTCCAGAGGTTCTGAGTTCAATTCCCAGCAACCAAATGGTGGCTCACAACCATCTGTGATGAGTTCTGGTGCCCTCTTCTGGCCTGCAGGGATACATGCAGGCACAACATACAAAAATACTAATTTCCCCCTTTAAGAATTCCCAGGTTGCTGGGCGGTGGTGTCGCAATATTATAATCCCAGCATGAGGAAGGCAGAGACAGCCTGAGTTCGAGACCAGCCTGGCTTACAGAGTGAGTTCCAGGACAGCCAGAGCTGTTGCATGGAGAAACCCTGTCTTGAAAAACAAAAAACAGTTTTGGTAATGTAATGAGACCCTATGTAACAATGAAACTAAACTGTGCCTTCCCTTGGCACATAGCTGTAATCCCAGCACTCCTGGGGCAAAGGTAGCAGTCTAGCTTCAAGTTTGATCCCAGCCTGGTTTTCCATAGCAAGTGGCAGGTTACACAGTAAGACACTGCTTCAGAAGCCAGAAGTATACAGATGAAGGACTGGGAGTGAAGCTCTGGGGCAGGACACTTGCCCAGGGTGCACAAAGCTCTGGGTTCAAGTCCCAGCACTGTCAGTAAAGAAGGGGGTAGATCTCCGTTCTCAGCTGTACAGGAACAGGTAGGTGGGCCTGACCCACAGGCTGCGCTTTCCTGACACTGGACTTTGGAGATAAGAACTACTATCCCTTGTAGCAAGTGGAGCTTGTTTGAAGGGAATTTAACCTAGCCTCTCTGTGTGTATGTGTGGGGGAGGGGCTCCGACTAAACAACAACAAAAACCACAATTTTTGAGGAGTTGCCTGTTTTGTTTTTGTGACAGGATCTCTCACTGACCTGGAACTTTCCAGTTAGGCTAGGCTTGCTGGCCAGGGAGCCCCAGCAATCCTGCCTCTAGTGCCCCAGTGCTGGGGGACAGATGCACTCTGTTGTTTCTGGGTTTTTATGTTGGGGCAGAGGAGGCAGGAAGAACTTCGCTGCCTGCGTTATCTCCCCAGCCCTGGCTCAGTTTTTACCGTAGAGAGTCAGTCATATGCTTGCCTGCACTGTCTTACATAGCAAAGTCTAGGCCAGAGGCCCTCTGCTGACTGTGCGCTTCCTTTCTCCCCATTCCCAGGGCTCTTTGTGGGGAAAGAAGGCCCCATGATCCACAGTGGTGCCGTGGTAGGAGCTGGCCTCCCTCAGGTAAGGGTTGGTGGGTCAGGGTATGCATCCCTCCAATAGGCCTCCCGGATAAGCCCAGCAGATCTGGAAAAATCCTTTGGAAACTGTGTCCACAAAGCACCCAGCTCTTGTTCCTCAAAGTATAACAATGCTGTGTGTGCCGAGTGGTGAGGACAGAAACCAGAAGCAGAGGAAGAGCTGAGACAGGGTGGCTGGTGGGTTACCACATGCTACAAGTGTCACGTGGCTGGAAGAGTTGGCTGACCTTGCTCATTCCACATGTGTGTTGCAATAATAGTCACAGGGTTAGGCAGGTGTCACCTGTGCACTAGACTGTGTGTCCCAATTCTTTTCTTCCCTGTGGTCACATACAGAACTGACTAGACCCCTAGGCATAGATGAGGGGCTGTCTGAAGCTGAAGGACTCAATAGCTTCTTTTAAAAATTAGGTTTCAGCTGGGCAGTGGTGGCGCACACCTTTAATCCCAGCACTCAGGAGGCAGACGCAGGCGGATCTCTGAGTTTGAGGCCAGCCTGGTCTACAGAGCAAGTTCTGGGGCAGACCCCATAGCTACACAGAGAGACCCTGTCTTGAAAAAATAGGGAAAAAAAAATAGGTTTCATTGATTGGTTGAGGTCGGGTCTTGGACAGCTGGCTTTTGTTTGAGAAGTTTTGGTCCCTTGAGAACAATCACCTATGGACCTTTCCTTCCCTGCTTCAGGATGCTCCTGGATGCATCCCCCTTGTAGCACACCTGTGCAGTTGTGCAGACACAACTGGGGACCATGACTTCCTTTGCTCTGCCCTCAATGGCCTCTCTGACTTTGTTTCCTCCATTTCAGTTTCAGAGCATCTCCTTGCGAAAGATCCAGTTCAACTTTCCCTACTTCCGCAGTGACAGGTAAGTTTTGGGAGGTGCAGCCCACTCTCTCTCACTCCACGCCCGCCTGACTCACTGCGACCCCTGGCTGTCAGAAAAGGAAGGGCTCTGTGCTTTTCTCCTGAGAGAAACAAAAGGCCCAAGCTCTTATCCTTTCCATTTGTCTAAGAGTCGTTCCAGACAAAGATGATGGGCCAGAACTGAAAACCTGGCCAGGGAAAGGCTCCCTGCCAGATGGACTCTGTAGCCCTGTAGGTTTGTGTGTCACTGTTCGCCTTTGTCTTCCCACAAGGCACATCTTTCTGCTCACACTCACCTTTCTTACCAGGGCTCTGTTTTTGGTGGGAACATGGTTCAGTAGCAACCATTGGATGTGCCCATTCTGTTCTCTGAACTGGGGTCCCCGTTGCATGTTCCTAGACTGAAGCTATTGAGGTCAGCGAGCTCCTGGTCTCAGGTGAAGAGCTGTTAGCCCTGAGGGAATGAGATGCAGTGTGTTGGCTAACAGATTCCTGGGTCGGGCACCTGTTGGCTAACAGATTCCTGGGACGGGCACCTGTTGGCTAACAGATACCTGGGACGGGCACCTAGGGAAAGGAAAAGCTTATTCTCCCTAATAGTTTTGAAGGTTTCAGTGTCCTTCATCTTGTGGCTTGGAGTGCGTCCCAGTACCTTCTTGGTATACTCCAAGTGACCTAACTTCCTCTGATGAGGCTCCGTTTCTCAGATTCCACCACCTTCTAGGAGTGCCTTGGGGTGATGGCCTTGAACACACTGGAGAATATTTCACATTCGAACTCAAGCATGTGGGGAGTGTGTGGTTCAGAGGCAGCTATGACTGCCTGTCCAGGACCCTGCTCTTTTGTGATCCTGACACTTGGGTTGTCAGGGAGAAGGTCCAGGGTAAAGACGTGTTCTGAAGGCTCTTTCTTAAATAAACAAGTGTCCTCTCCCTCTCTCCCCCTTCCCTCTCCCCCTCCCCCCTCCCTTTCCCTTTCCCTCTCCTTCTCCCTCTCCTCTCCTCTCCTTCAGAGACAAGCGGGACTTTGTATCAGCGGGGGCAGCTGCTGGAGTTGCTGCAGCTTTCGGGGCCCCTATAGGGGGTACCTTGTTCAGCCTGGAGGAGGGTTCGTCCTTCTGGAACCAGGGGCTCACATGGAAAGTGGTAAGGAGACTGTCTGGAAGCCACCTCTTGGACCCCAAGCACCAGTCCAGAGTGCACCTGGATATCACTTGAAACATGCAACTGTCCTTTTGTTGGAGCTGGCAGATGGACTCTGTGGGAATGTCCCTGTCATAGCAGCCATAGCCTCTAGACAGTGGGCTTTTGTGCTTTTTCTGAGTCCACCCCACCCCCAACTGTACACCCCATGCCAAATGACTGCTATTCTCTCTTTGTGAACCCTCTGCCATGAAAATGTGCAAGTCTGTTAGGGAGGGAAGGAGGAATGACAGGATTGTGACTTGATCTGTCTCCTGGTGTGTCCTGTGCTCCTTCCTCTCCGGTGCAGGGCTCTCAGCATCAGACCTTCAGAGCCTGCCTTCAGTTGCTTTCCCTGAGGAGGGTGGGCATTGCTTCCTGAACCCTGAACCCTGTCACTTCGGAAGGTCTCTTCTGGAGCCATGGGTTTTTATTTCTTTGATGGTTTGTTTTTGTCACTGTTTTGTTTTGGTTTGAGACAGATTTCACTATGTAGACCAGGCTAGCCTCAAAGTCAACCTGTGTCACCACACCTAGTGGAGTGGTGGGTTTTAAAGGGACTATCTGACTGGCAAGATATCTCAGTGGCTAGAGGCACTTGCTGCCCCCACGTGGTAGAAGGGGAGGACTGACCCGCAAGTTGTCCTTTGACTGCCACACACACACACACACACACACACACACAGACACACACAAACACATACACACACTCATAACACACACACACCACACACACAGACACACACACACACAGACACACACAAACACATACACACACTCATACACACTCATACACACACAGACACACACACACACACACAGACACACACACGTGTAAATGAAGAATATGTAAATGTAAGCGGACTGTCAAGGAGAGGGTGATCCAGCATTCCTGCTTTTTTTTTTTTTTGTCACCTGTCCTCTAGCTCTTCTGCTCCATGTCTGCTGCCTTCACCCTCAACTTCTTCCGTTCTGGGGTTCAATTTGGGAGTTGGGGCTCCTTCCAGCTGCCAGGACTACTGAGCTTCGGTGAATTTAAGGTATGGCTTACCCTTCCGAGGACATTTCACTTCACCCATGAAACTTGCTCTTAAATAAGCACCAGAGGTGTAGGTGGCCTCTGGAATGGCTGTCGCTCCTGCACAAAGCTGCTCCCATGAGCAGTGTGCCTGGGCAGCCTGGACCCTCAGCAGGGAAGCAAGGCATCTGCTCTTGTTCCTGTCTCTGTCCCTTTCCCTTCCTGTTCTCATGGCCGCTCTGGTTTTTCTCTCTCCCTCCCTTCCCCCTTCTCTCAGTGCTCTGACTCTGATAAAAAATGTCACCTCTGGACAGCTATGGATTTGGGTTTCTTCGTCGTGATGGGGGTCATTGGGGGCCTCCTGGGAGCCACATTCAACTGTCTGAACAAGAGGCTTGCAAAGTACCGTATGCGCAACGTGCACCCGAAACCTAAGCTCGTCAGGTACCTGCAGTGAGCCCCTTGCGGGCGGGCCATCTCTCCCAAGGAAGATGGTCCTGGGAGCAGACCCTGCTTCCCACATTCCATGCGGATTTCTCCTCTGACACTAGATATATAAACAGGCTCATAAATATGCCCCATGAAGGCCAGAGGAGCTGAGGCTAGGCTTATATCTCAGTGATTGGGTGACTCACCCTCTTCTGACCTGCCACTAAAACACATAACCAGAGGTCAGGAGGGTCCCCAGGCCCTGCTGAGAGCTATCTGTCATGAGTTGCCCTTGCCTTGGACTTAGAGAAGAAAAGCCATTTAGCTCTTTAGAGAGAAATGATGTGTGTGCAACAGCTCTCTTCGTCAGCTGCCTGCCCTTTATTGCAGCTAGCTAGATGAAGCAAGTCTGGAGTGAATTCTGGATGTGTGTGCCCTCACCAGGGCTGCTGGGCTTGCCCTTTGGGGAGAGGGGTGTTGGGGTATCTAGGATGATTGTGTGTGCTCAAGCCTAGGCATTCAGTTGCATTGTGACAGCTGTGCTTTGCTTTCTAGAGTCTTAGAGAGCCTCTTGGTGTCCCTGGTGACCACTGTGGTGGTGTTTGTGGCCTCCATGGTATTGGGAGAATGTCGACAGATGTCCTCTGCGAGTCAAACTGGTAATGGCTCCTTCCAGCTCCAGGTAACCCCAGCAAATGTGGTGTCTTTATCCTCCATCCAGAAATGCACGTCTCTTAGAGCCATGCTGTTCCATGCCCACAGCTGACTGTTCTATGGTTCAGCAGTGTCTAAGGCTCTGGCCGTTCTCCTCTAGGGAACCACACTCGTGGGAAGCAGGCTCAGTAACTACCTGTTCACTTCTGTCAGGGCCCCATTTACGCCTGTCCCTCTTCAGGCCTGCAGGGACACTCTGGCCTGGGGCCACCACACCCACCACCTCACCTTCGAGGGGTGATGCTAATACCTCCCAGCCTCTGGCTCTCGAGGGGCTGCTTTCCTCGGCATGTATCCCTTCTGCACTTTACCTTGCTGTCCTTAGGGGGTCATGGGGTGTACTGTGTCTGCAGGTTTTGGTCCACTCTGATGGTCTTAGCTGTTACTTCAGAATCTGCAGTAAGGAGGAAACCAAGTCTATGGTGACGCCTGATGTAGTTATGCTTAGTGATAAGCATGAATGAGGGCCAAGGAGATGGCTCAGCAGGTAAAGCACTTGCCATACAAGTACAGGGACCTGAGTTCAGATCCCCATGACCCATAGGAAGCTGGACATGGCAGCTTGTATTGGTAATGCCGATGCTGCTCCCGCAAGATGGGGAGTGTGGGCAGGAAGTCTGGCATGCGTGGCGGTGAGTAAGAGACCCCAGCTCAGCGTCATGTGATCTCCACATGCATGCTGTGCCAGCTGTACCATGGTAAGCATGTGGTCCATGAATATCACACACACACACACACACACACACACACACACACACTTTTTTAAAAGTGCTGCTGGCCAGAAACTGGAAGCAGCCTAGATGCCCCTAACTGAAGAATGGATAGAGAAAATGTGGTCCATTTACACAATGGAGTACTACTCAGCAGAGAAAAACAATGGAATCTTGAAATTCACAGGAAAATGGATGGAACTCGAAGAAACCATTCTGAGCGAGGTAACACAATCACAAAAAGACAAACGTGATATGTACTCACTCATATGTGGACCTGCTTTATGATACATAATAGTGACCCTGCTTTATCAGAGCTGTTTTTAATGATGTTGCTCAGAATGGTTTCCTCCCAGATGATGATAGAGAAGCTAATTAAAAAAAAAAAAAATGGTGCCAGGTACCACAAGGGTAACAGAACTGTGCTGTTTTTCTGGGATTTTTTTTTTAAATGGAGAGTGCTGGATGTCTCTACAATTTTGTTCAAATGACTGCAGAACCTGGAAAAGCTGTTGCTGCTATTGATGTATAACATACTGCCATTATTGGTCTTTTTATATAAATATATATACATGTATAATTTGAAATTTTGGAAACTTTAGCTGTGCTGTCAACTTTGGAAAAAAGTATCCCAGTTTACCAAGTTCAGTTGGCATTGTACAAAAATTAACACCCATATTGTTCTAGAAATGTTTAACTTAATTTTTTTCCATTTGTACAGCGGTAATGGTCTTTGGGAAGCCCTTTTTGAGGGCCTTACCCTGCCTGGGGAGTGGAGGGGGGATGGCTAGGGGCAGGTGGGATGTTAGGGGGGAGGGGAGGGAGAGGGAGAGGGAGAAGGGATTGACATGTGAAGCAAGCTTGTTCCTAATTTGAACTAATAAAATAAAATAAAAATTTAAAAAAAAAAAGTGCTGCTGGTCTGTAGTGGCACATGCCTTTAACCCCAGCACTCAGGAGACAAAAGAAGGTGAATCTCTGTGAGTTCAAGGCCAGCCTGGTCTACACAGTGAGTTCTAGGAAAGCCAAGACTACACATAGAAACCCTCAAAAAAAAACCCAAAAAAACAAAAACAAAAAAGGTGTGGGTGAGCGAGGCCTTCATCCTCACCCAGATTATTTCATTCCACGTTCAGAATTCGGGGACCGGCTCAGTCAGCTGCCATCTGGTAACCATACATAGCTGGGTGGGCACTTCCTCCAGCTAGACCCCAGTTCCTCCCATAGGTAAAGAAGTACAGCCAGATGGCTGACTTCTGTTTTTGTTTTTTGTTTTTTTTTAAGGTTTATTTATTTATTTATTATGTATACAGTGTTCTGTTTACATATATGTTTGCACACCAGAAGAGAGCACCAGATCTCATTACAGATGGTTGTGAGCCACCATGTGGTTGCTGGTGATTGAACTCAGGACCTCTGGAAGAGCAGCCAGTGCTCTTAACCTCTGAGCCATCTCTCCAGCCACCAGCATCTGAATTCTTAGGAGACAGCACTGAAGACTTATATGTCCTGGTCAGGGGTCTTTGTATTGACTTTTTGATCCCCCCTCTTTAGGCCACATCGGAAGATGTAAATTCAACTATCAAGACATTTTTCTGTCCCAACGATACCTACAATGACATGGCCACACTCTTCTTCAACTCCCAGGAGTCTGCCATTCTGCAGCTCTTCCATCAGGATGGTGAGTGTCAGTGCCACACGCGCGCACACACACACACACACACACACACACACACACACACACACACACACGAGTGTTTCTTCTGTAATGGCACCCCAGTGTTGGATGGTGTGACCAGGCTGGGGTGCAGAGAACCTGGAAGGACCCAACACAGTCTTCTGGGCCTTTGCAAGCATCTGCTAGTGTGACTCAGGTCTGCTCTCGCCCTGCAGGGACTTTCAGCCCCATCACCTTGGCCTTATTCTTCATCCTCTATTTCCTGCTGGCATGCTGGACTTTTGGCACTTCCGTCCCCAGTGGCCTCTTTGTGCCTTCCCTGCTGTGTGGGGCAGCTTTTGGACGTTTGGTTGCCAACATCCTGAAAAGGTAGTGTGGTGGCTTTTGGCACTTCCGTCCCCAGTGGCCTCTTTGTGCCTTCCCTGCTGTGCGGGGCAGCTTTTGGACGTTTAGTTGCCAGCATCCTGAAAAGGTAGTGTGGTAATGTGTGCATGTGTGTCCAAGTATACAAGTGTGTGAGCCCACACCACCAGTGTGATCCTAAGCCTGGTTCTGTTTCTCTCCTCACCAGCTACATTGGACTGGGCCACATCTACTCTGGGACCTTTGCCCTGATTGGTGCCGCAGCTTTCTTGGGTGGGGTTGTGAGAATGACCATCAGTCTCACAGTCATCCTGATGGAGTCTACCAATGAGATCACGTACGGGCTTCCCATTATGATCACCCTGATGGTGAGCATGTCCCCTTGGCTGCTGGCTGCTGGTGGGCTGAGGGCAGGCTCACCTCAAGGGCTGTCTTCAGGTCCCTGCTCTGTCTTCCAGGTGGCCAAGTGGACAGGAGACTTTTTCAATAAGGGCATCTATGATATCCACGTGTGCCTGCGGGGCGTACCTCTTCTGGAGTGGGAGACAGAGGTGGAAATGGACAAGTAAGATGCTGGCCTCATCTTTGCATCTTTGCACCAGGGTCTCTAAGCTCAGGGCCTGCAGAGCCCGTCAGGGTGGGAAACAGTAGCTTACATTGCTCAGATCAGAGGAAGGTTCATCCATGTCCCTGGTGTGTTTGGGGATGTTGACAGCTTGAGTTGGTTAGGAGTACAGAGGGCGGGCTGGCTGGCATGGTGTGACCCAGAGACAAGGCTGCTTTGTGTTTATTGGCTCCTTAGTGTCCTGGCCAAGTAAATTGTGAGAACTGGATCTTGGCTAGATGTTCACACTGAGAACACACAAAACCCTGGCAGTGACACCATCCTACCCACACACCCAACCAAGTGCCACGCTGTCTTGGCTGGGGTGTTCCCGACCTCTTACCTGCATCTCAGGCAGGCCTTATGAGCTAATGCAGGGTCAGCAGCTTTTCCTCAGCAAGTTTCTAGCATTGTGAGCCTGTCAGCCCCACAGCGCTGTCACTACAGGAGGAAAATGGACCTGGATGAGTGTGTAGGGCTGGAATTGATCTGTGGGCTCTGGCTTGTCATCCAGGTCTAAACAAGTACTCCAGGATTGTCCTTTAGCTTCCAAAGTAATTAGTGATTACTAATTAGTGACACGTAGCATGTGATGTGGCGGTGGTTCAAGCAGTGGCTGGGCAGCCCTTGGGAAAGCTGGAGGGGTTCATGGAGAGGTCACAGTGGGCCCCGGCATGATAAGGTGGAGGTGGGAAGCAGCCTTGCCCAGCCCAGCCTGTCCCCAGGGCAGTGGTCTCTTGGAGGCTGTTACAGCTCCCCCTCTTGCAGGCTGAGAGCCAGTGACATCATGGAGCCCAACCTGACATACGTCTACCCACACACTCGCATCCAGTCTCTGGTGAGCATCCTGCGCACCACCGTTCACCACGCCTTCCCAGTGGTCACCGAGAACCGGGGCAACGAGAAGGACTTCATGAAGGGCAACCAGCTCATCAGCAACAACATCAAGTTCAAGGTGAGAGAAAAATTGGCCCACAAGGCAAGGCCAGCTAGGAAGACCAGCTGGCCCAGCATTCCCACTTTTATGGAGTGCCGCCTCTGAAGCTGGGGTGGACTCAGACTCTGTCAGTCTAGGGAGGTCTGCAGCACCTCACATGTGACACAGTGTGTGTGTGCTCATCTGGGCAGCAGGAAGCAGGTGGGTGGGCCCCTTTTTAAAGTCAGCAGACTTAGTATTAATTATTTACCATTTGCAAGCATCAAGGAAGGTTCTAGAGTTGCTGACACAAATGGACTCTGACCTACTTAGGAAAGTGGGAGTCCAGGCAGGAGGATCACTGTGAGCCCCAGGCCAGCCTGGGCTATACAGAGAAACCCTGTCTCAATAAACCACAGATACAATGAGAAAGAAATTAACTGGAAGCTGCAGACCTAGCTGGAGCTTTAGAGATTCAGGTATTGGCTGTATAATGCCATTTGGGATACCAGGAGAATTGGACACAGGCTGGTCTCTGTCCTTGGGTAGCTCCCAAATCACAGTCCAGGCCCATCACCTCATGCAGACTGTGTGCCCACCCATTGCCTTTGGTGTCTTTGGGAAAGGCAGACACACATTGACAGTCTCTCCAAGACAGGGTGTAAGAGAATTGAGGTGCACCTCCCCAAATGAGAGAAGGTGGAGTCAGGCCCACAGAACCATGAGATTGGGTGCAGTGGATAACTTTGCATCTCTGTGACAAAATGTGTGGCATAAACTGCTTAGAAAAGTCAGGTGGTGGCGCACGCCTTTAATCCCAGCACTCGGGAGGCTGAGGCAGGAGGATCTCTGAGTTCAAGGCCAGCCTGGTCTCCAGAGTGAGTTCCAGGACAGCCATGGCTACACAGTGAAACCCTGTGTGGAAAAAATAATAAATGAACAAACCACTGAGAAGGATTTCTTTGGCCCTGTGTCCCAGAGCTGTCTGTCTGTCTGTCAGGGCCAGGAAGGTGTGCAGAGGGGAATAGCAGCAGCATGGGGAGAGAAAGCAGACAGAAGCATACAGGAGGGGGTCAGGGCAAGATCTAGCTCCCAAGAACACAGACACACATGCATGCCCATACAACTGTGACCTACTTCCCCTAGCTCAACCCCAGTTTCTTCTCTTCATCTGTCTGTGAGGTCAAAGCCCTCGGCATCTGGTCCTGGGAAAACAGACACCCAGAGGCTGCTTCCATACCATTAAAACTAGGTCAGACTGACCATCAAGACCAAGTGACACACTTGGCCTGGGCAGGGTTCCGGGTGTAGTGCAGTGGTAGAGACTTACCTATCATGTACGAGGCCTCAAGTTTGTATTCAAGTCCAAGGACTGACTTGCCTGCACCTTGCAGAGGCTTGCAGGCCTCCTTGGGGAGTGCTATTCCCATCATCACAGCCCTGTTGGTGCCCCTATGTTTGTATGCCCAGCACTGCCATCTTGACCCCTGTAAAGACTGTCATTGTCTCCACACCCCATCCATAGAAATCCAGTATCCTCACCCGTGCCGGTGAACAGCGCAAGCGGGGCCAGTCCATGAAGTCTTACCCTTCCAGTGAGCTTCGAAATGTGTGCGATGAGCACGTGGCCTCAGAGGAGCCAGCAGAGAAGGAGGACCTGCTGCAGCAGATGCTGGAGAGGAGGTGAGGGCCTCGCACTGGCTGCCTTCTGCCTCCACACAGAGCACCCTGCACACAGTGGGTGTGAGTGAGCCCATGGGCTTGCTGGAGATTATGGGAAGGCGACAAGGATGTGTGGCGGAAGGGACCCTGCTGAGGGTATACGAGGCAGCATCTGGTTTTTGTGTAACAGATACACTCCCTACCCCAACCTATACCCTGACCAGTCCCCGAGTGAAGACTGGACCATGGAGGAGCGCTTCCGCCCGCTGACCTTCCACGGCCTCGTCCTGCGCTCGCAGCTTGTCACCCTGCTTGTCCGAGGAGTGTGTTATTCTGAAAGTCAGTCTGTAAGTCTTGGGCCCTGGTGTCATGGAAGGCAGGAAGGCAACAGGGACAGGCCCTGTTGTTCTGGGAGAGGTGGTTCTGTGTTTGTGGTATGTGCACGGTTACTGTTGAGTAGCATACTTGGCCTCATAAGCCTTTTGCTGTGTGTGAGCCCCCAGGCCAGGAGGGAGGTGAGGGCTAGTTGACTACAGTTGTCCCTTGTTTACAATGTCTCCTGCCTGCTGGCCTGTCCTGTGAGCTTGTTGTGCCCTGAGGGGTTTTTCCTTTCATTTTCTTTGTTGAGATGGGATCTCATATAGCCCTAGCTGGTCTTTACCTCATAGGGTAGCTGAGGATGACTCCTCCTGTCTCCAGCAGGCATGTGCAGGGACCACAGGCATGGGCCTCCATGCCTGCCTTTACTACTGCAGGATTTTCATTCTGGTCTAAGTAGACTTTTCTGCATGTGTCAGTGGGAGAAGCATCCTCTTCCTGTCAGCTCTGCTGTTTTTCTTTCATTTGGTTTTTAGGGTGTCCCCATGGCACCCAAGACGACACACCTTTTCAGCAGGAGGCTGAGCAAATCACCCTGTGCCCTGGTTTCCAGAGTGACTCTCCTGATGTTGGGAGTTGGGGTTTCTGCCATGTAGCCACCTGAGCTCCTCTGTGGTCTGCTAAGACTACAGAAGAGCAGTTACCCTGGTACAGGGACCTGGGTGGAGGGTGGGTGACCGTCCTGGTTGGAATGGGTGGAGACACTGATGGGGAGCTTAGAGGCAAGGAGGTTGGAGTGGCGTCAGGCTTGGGTCCTGAAGTGCCCGGCCTGGCCTGCTGGAGCAGGCAGATGCTGGGGCTGCCTGGCAGTGGGGCCAGCTGTGAGCCAGGTGAGGTGCAGAGTGGAGTTAGGGAGCAGGGGTCCCTTCAGAACAGCAATAGCCAGTCAGCCTTGCCCTGACTTCCCTGCCCAGTGACAGCAGCAGCGAGATCTGAGGGGTGGTGCCAACGCTCCTGTGAAGCTATACTGTAGCCACTACATCAAATTGCCATTGGCCTGGTAGCTTGAAGCAGGATCTTGCATGGTTCAAGACGATAAGTACAAGACTCCGAGTGCATGGGGCAAGCTCTGTGAAGGAGCTAGGGGAGGGGAAGGGCCTTCCCAGCCCCCTCTAGTCACTGTGGTTGCTGACAACTGCAGGCCTCCTGGTTGTAAATGTCACTGCAGCTTGACTTCTCTTGACTCACTCTGCTTCCGCTCCCTGTTTTGTAAGGATACCTGATGCTGGAATTAGCCCTAGTCCAGTATAAGCTCATTGTAAACAAATCTGCAGAAACCCTATTTCCAGTAAAGGCATCCGATAGGTACCAGGATTTACAGGTTGGCTCTGTCTTTGGGAGACACAACTCAGCCCACAACACCTATTAGCGGTTTTCTCATCCATTAGGGCCTGGTTTGGTGTCAGGCTGTCCCCCTTTTTAGCACCCACTGTGGCCCCTGTCCTGTCTTTTCCCCGGGGTGGACTTTGACTGAAAGATACCGATAACTAGGGAGGGGCTGTCGGAGTGACCCTCCTGGCTGGCGGCTGCTGTTTGTTGCAAGGACACTGTCTTGGTTGGAATTGCAGAGTGCCAGCCAACCACGCCTTTCTTATGCTGAGATGGCTGAGGACTACCCACGATACCCAGACATACACGACCTGGACCTCACACTGCTGAATCCCCGGATGATAGTGGTGAGGAGGGCTGTCCTTCGGGGTTGTCTGACATGCTGGGTCCATGCTTCCTTCCCCCAGGCTGTGGGTGATGCTTGCCTTCTCTTCTGCAGGATGTCACCCCATATATGAACCCTTCACCATTCACTGTCTCCCCGAACACCCATGTTTCCCAAGTCTTCAACCTGTTCAGAACCATGGGCCTGCGCCACTTGCCTGTGGTGAATGCGGTGGGAGAGGTGAGTGACTGGTGTGGAGAAGAGCAGTGCCCCTAGCTGCCTGTGGTCTGTCCACTCACCCTCACGTTTCCCCATGGGTATGTCTCTCTCTCCCCCGTGGGCATGTCTGTCTCACCAGTCCAGCAGGGGGCGCCCCAATGCCTGCCTTCCATTCCTCTATTGCCTGTTCTGGTCTCAGCTCCAGGACTTCTTACATTCGCCTGGTCTGTGTTCCTTGCCTCCACCTCTTATAGGCATGTGTAGCAGTAATAGAATTTAAGGCGAAATTCTCAGAGGTTTTTAAAAGATAGCATCCCCAGTGATTATTTTCGCAGGCTCTCCCATCATTTCTTTTCATAGTTAATTGTATTTGTGTGCTGTGTGAGCACAACTCTGTGGAGTTGGTTCTCTCCTTCCACCTTCAGTGGGTTGGGTTCTGGGAATGGAACGCTGATCACCAGGCTTGCATGATGATCATATTTATCCCCTGAGCCATCTTGTCAGCCCAACTTAATTTTTTTTTTTTTTTTTTTTTTTTTGTGGTTTTTCCAGACAGGGTTTCTCTGTGTAGCTTTGGAACCTATCCTGGCACTCTCTTTGGAGACCAGGCTGGCCTCGAACTCACAGAGATCCACCTGCCTCTGCCTCCCAAGTGCTGGGATTAAAGGCGTGCGCCACTAACGCCCAGCCCCAACTTAATTTTTTAATTGCCTAGCTATTGTTATGTTCTCATACTATATTGTAGTGAAATCAGAAAACAAAAACAAGCCCTGGTCCCTGCCCTGCTTGAGGTCTCTGTGCTGTCTGTCTCCATTCCTGTGCACAGGTTATCACAGTGGGTTTCCTTGCAGGTGCTCATCTCTGCTGCGTGTTGCTTTGTCCTAGGCATGCTAGGCAGGTGCTCCACCATTGAGCTATAGCACTCCACCCACCTGAGTGACAGGCGGGCATCAAGGCTCTGTGGCCCTTTTTCCTGTCTGTCACCAAAACGACCCTGTAAAGAAGTGGTGCCTCTTTAAGAGACAGTCTGCCTTCCTTCCATTCTTCCCTCCCTCCTCACTGGCCTGATTCTCCTGTAGCCCAGACTGGCCTTGAGCTTGAGGCAGCCCTTTTGACTCAGCCTCCCATGTGCCGTTACAGGTATGTGCCACCAGGCTTGGCTTGTGCCCTGTTTAAGGATATATGCTAGCCAGTTTTATGCCAACTTGATGAAAGCTTGAGTCATTTGGGAACAGGGACACTGAATTGAGAAAATGCCTCCATAACTTCAAGCTGTAGACAAAGCTGTCATACATTTCCTTAGTCAGTGATTGATGTGTAAGGGCCGGGCCCGTTGTAGATAGCGCCATCTCTGGGCTGGTGGTCCTGCGTGCTATAACAGAGCAGGCTGAGTACGTCAGGAAGAGCAGGCTGGTGAAAAGCATCCCTTCATAGTCCCTGCCCCGTGTGACTTCCTGTCCTGACTGACTTTGCTCAGTGATGGGCTGTCATGTAGCTGAAATAAACTTTCCCTCCCCAACTTGCTTTTGGCCGTGGCCTTCTGTCACAGCAGTAGAAACCCTAAGGCAGGCCATGACGCGCCGTGGGATACAGCTCAGCAATAGAGCATGTGCCTAGGTTTGTTTATAAACAAGTACACAAAATAAAACACAGGCTAGTTCTGCCAGGCATTGTGGCACACACCTGTAATCCCAGCACAGCACACGGGAAGATGGCAAGTTCAAGGTCAGCCTGGACTGTGTTGTGAATGAAACCCTGTCTCCACCCAAACCAAAAAACAATAAAAGAATGTCTGGATCACACATAGAGGTGTGTTGAGAGAAAGCAGGTAGCTCTTCCAAAGGGGCAGGGCCCCTTTAAGTCACCCCTTCTCTCTCTCCCTTGCTCACCTTTGCTCCCGTTTCCGGGCCTGCTGGTTCCTTGTGCAGCTGCATCTGTCCCCACACCGCCTGAAAGCAGGAAGTGTGTGTCATGAGCTCACTGACCCTGTCATGTCCTTACACTGACCAGGTCCCATTCTCGTTCTGTCTCTGCATCCTGGGGGTACATCAACAGGGACCGTCTGTTTCTTCACTCGTGTCCTCACAGGGTCTTGTGTACTCTGGTGACTTGGGTGTTTTATTCCTTGCCCTAGATCGTGGGGATCATCACACGACACAACCTGACGTCTGAGTTCCTGCAGGCCCGGCTTCGGCAGCATTACCAGACCCTCTGACAATTGAGCCCGGCTGCCGCCAGCCCACTCTCCCAGAGATGCCTCTCCAAGTGGCTTGTTCACACACTGGCCCCCACAGCTGGCATGAAGGCTCCCAGTCACCCACTTGCCTGGAGTCCTGGAAGCCTGGGGTCAGAGGTTTTGGGGATGTGTTGAGCAGAAAGTTGGAGTTTTACTAGCTTCCTCAGCAAGAATTTTCCGTTTCTCGTTCCCCAGGCTACCCTGGAGAGATGTCAGGGTGAGGTCAGGCTGGGTCCTGGGTAGGCATTTGGTGCTTCTCTGTTGTCGTTTCTCAGAGAACCCAGCTGTTACCCGGACCCTTCTGGGAAGGGTGTGGACAGAGGCAAGCATTGGGGATGTTATTTGCATATCATGTTCATTACTGAGTTCAGGAATTGGGCCCTAAGAACTGTTTCCCTAGGATCAAACCCAGGACCTCAGATAGGCAGAGAGCACTCTCTGCCCCTTCATTGGCCTGTCTGTCTTCCCTCAGATAGGCCAGCACACTGTCTGCCCCTTCATTGGCCCATCCTCCCATTCTGTTTCCTAGGAGCCAGCACATGCTGTGGCTTGAGTCTCCTTAGAATCATTCCTGATCAGACACATGAAGCACTAAAGCCCCATCGAATCCCATGGGGGGCGGGGCGGGGGCAGCACCTCTCCCCTCACTGTAAGCATTCAGTCGTCCCTGTCCGCACTTACAGCTGTTCTCCCAGCTACACACGCTCTCCACCCATTCTCAGTTCATCCCTCCCCACAACTCCCGGGCCTTCTCAGCCTTCATCTCTGCCTTCCTGGTGGGGCAGCCACAGCTATGTCTTGGACTCATTCCCAAAGTTAACCAAAATTGAAGAACCCCTAGACAGAACCACTACCCCAAGCCCTAGAAAATTTGGAATCGCTGCACAGGTTAGCAAACAGGCTGTCCTGAGCCAGGGCTAATGAAAGGTAGGCCTCCAGGAGGAAGCTAGTGGCTCCTCTCATGGTCACTGCTCATACCTGCTTCCAGAGCCACTCCCAACTCAGCCACCTCACTGAGGATTTAGAGAGGAACCTCTGCAGCTGCTTCTGCTCTTCTCGGGGCTGGGGAGGGAGTGCAATGTGCTCTCCCCTTTGTGCCTCACTGGTTTTCATGGCTCCACTCTCCTGACCGCTGGTTCTCTTTGAGTTAGTACCTCAGTGAGCATCTGCGTGGGGATACATCAGCACTCACTTTCCTGGGGCCTATAGTAGCCATTCCTTGGATATTAGGTGACATTCATTTGCATTAGATACTGTTTTGTTTTTTCTTTTTCTTTTCTTTTTTTTCTTTTCTTTTCTTTTTTTTTTAAGACAGGATTTCTCTGTGTAGCCCTGGCTGTCCGGTCACTCATTCTGTAGACCAGGCTGGCCTGGAACTCAGAGACTTTTTAAATCATGGAAATTGCTGGAGGGCTTCTTGGCCCCTGGCCTGGCAGGATCTTCTGATCAGCATGTGGGAAATTATACCGCTGCCTCAGTCAGGGGTTACCTTGGGTCTTTGTAGTTGACTGTGGGGGAGCCCCAGCACACCCCCACACCCCCACCCTCCGTTTTCCCCATTTGCCTATTTTTTTTTACCAGAACAACCTGTTTTTTCACATCCTGATTTGTAAGGCAGGGTAGGGATTGAAACTCCCAACAGTAGTCGGGAGAACAGTCCTGCTAATCAGGGCTGCATTTGGCCAGCTGCCAGCTGCCAGCTTCATTTTACAGCTGACTTGAGGGACTGCCCTGCTGTATCCTCCATCAAGAAGAAAACCAGTTGCCCGCACCAAAAGAAAAGTGTGACACACCACAGAATCATCTTCCCAGCCTGGTGGTTTGCAGAATAGCAACCTACAGAGGACCAGAATCCACAGCTTCCTGCCTCCAAGCCAGCCCTGGTGACCGGTTACAGTTTGGCCACCCTGTGTGTGTGTGTTGAGTCACCATCAGTTTAGCCCAGAATAGACAGGGTGCAGATACTTCTACCCTGGAGCTTGAGCCCATGCCCCTCATGCCCATCTAGGATGCTCAGTCCCTTTGCCCACTCCCCCACCTGCCTATCCAGAAAAGCCCAAAGACTTCAGCTTTTCCACTTGTGAACTATAAGCCTTGCCCCCCTCTCCCTATGGCTGTCCCTTGGAACCAGTGGCTCAGTATCTCACCTGTGACTTTACAGTGCTCCCCAACCCCCAGTGCCACCACACCTTGTCAAACACCTCCATGGAGAGACACCTGAGGTTGGCTCGAGGCAGTTTTCCTGGCTTCTGCACCTGGCCATTCGTGTGGCTCCCTGGTCCTGCTGTGGGAGTTTGGTGTTTTGTGAGCTGCCTGCATGTGACCTTGTTAAGCAGTTCCAGCTGGAACGGACATTAGCTTGACTCAGCCAGCCGTGTGACAGTTTGATGCAGACCTTGGTAACAAGAAAGCTTCCGGAAAAGCCAGCACAGCCCTCCTGGCCCGGCTGTGATGACATGCAGTGTTGCCCTCTGCTCCTGTGGAACCCGGTTGCAGCTTCCGCCTTTCTGTTTGCACTGTGTGTTTATATGGTAACATTAGCTGATTCCACTGTGTAGATAAATTGTATCTTTTTTAATTTGTAAAAGTCTATTTTTATTTGACCCTCTGGAAGGTGAAAGTTCTGTGATAACTTTAAGAAGTCAGAATAAAACATCTGCACCTTCTCTAAAGACCTTGTCTCTACAGTGCTCTTTTAGGTCTTCATTTCATTCCCTCCTTTAGGTAGGGAAAAGTTAAGGTGCTTTTTAAAAGGCGGTCTGTTTGTGAGACGGCCTTATGTAACCCAGGCTAGCCTCAGACTCACTGTAACGAGGGATGACCTCAGCTGTCCTCCTCTGCTTTGCAAATGCTGAGATTACAGGCATGAGCCATCATGCCCAGCCAGAAAGGTAATCTGCTGGCCCCACACTCCCTGTCTCTGCCTGTTCCCGTACCTGTCTGTCTACTGTCTTTGAAAGCATGGACTCAGTCCTGTGGCTCTTACACGGCACTCATCACTGCTGTGGTTTGACTGGCTTGTGAACACTGGTCCTTTTATCTGTCCATCTTTTCTTCCTGCCAGCAGCCACAGGGCAAGAGCAGACAGTCTGTTCTGCCTGCCTGTGTCAGTGCTCACCCCACAGCCAGGAGCCTGATGGCAGCCGGAACACAGGAAGCCCTCACCACTCTGTGCTTGTGTGCATTATTGCATATGTATGGTCTTTGTTCCCTTGTCTCTTATTTTACGGGAAATGCCACTCACTGTGTCTATGGCTATGCCACCAGTCACAGCAGCCCATCAGGCCCCTCCTACCTCAGCTTTCTCCAAGTCCTAGGGGCACTTTGTACCTCATGTGTCCCTTTCTGTCTCTTCCACTCAGGGATGACCCTTTGTTACCATGACACCTGGAGTGTACCTTCAGTAGCCCATTCTTCTTCCCTTTATGACTGGGATTCCCAAGTGCAGGCCTAATGCTCTTTCCTGTTTCACACTGGTCCTTGTTAAGTTGTTCTCTGATGACTGTTTCTTGTTGCTTGTTTTTTTGTTGTTGTTTTGCACCTACTGATTTGAGATCCAGACAAGAGGATTTTTTGTTGTTTTTGTTTGTTTGCTTGTTTGGTTGGTTTTTTGAGACAGTGTTTCTCTGTGTAACAGCCCTAGCTGTCCTGGAACTCTATTTGTAGACCAGGCTGACCTCAAGCTCAGATATCTGCCTACCCACTCCTGAGTGTTGGGATTAAAGGTGTGTGCCACCATGCCAGGCCGATAGGAGCATTTGATTGGGAATGGTTAGCGTTCTTCCTCCACCGGCAGCTCCTCCCTGTTTGCTCCTGGCCTTGCCCCACCCCCACACACAGCACCTATGCACCTACTACTTGGTTTCTCCCTCTCTCCTTTTCTGTACATCATGTTCAGAACAGGTTGGGACACAAGCACATGGCCACACACACAGCAAGCCGTGTCCTGTGATGCCACCTGAAGCAGTGTCCACAATTAGCCTTTATGTGTAGGATGTAGAGAGTACCACATGGTGGCATCCTGGGATGGGGGGTCAGCAAAAATGAGTGCAGCAAGGTGAGTGTGGGGGTGAAGAGGGTGTCCCCATGAGAGTCTGAGGCAGTGGCGTGTGCTCAGGGAAGTAAGAGTCCCTCCTTGTTTAAAAGGACCCTGGGGTCCTGTTTTGTGTGTAGAGTAGCACCTAGTGCATCAAGGCAGAGGCAAGCATATCTCCCTGAGTTCGAGGCCAGCCAAGGCTATGTAGTGAGACCATAAATAAATAAATAGATAAATAAGAAAGGTGCTGTTTCCCGGTGGCTCTCACCTCCATGCAGTATACAATCCAAGTACCACAGTCCTGGGTTAGGGAGGGGCCATGGCTATTTTATAAATGCATTTGGCTCTGAGTTTGATCTCTGGCACAGATTGATGACAGCGGTAAGATAGGTAGGGATGCATTAGTGAGATAGGTGGATAGGTAGGGATGCGTTGGTGAGATAGATAAATAGGAAGAGATGCACCAGTCGGTGTGGTCATTCACAAAGCATTTGAACTTGCCACTCAGCCTGGAAACCGTCCTTCACTGCTCCCCACTATGTAACCCACCCTCCACTCTTATCCAAACTGAAAGTGTAATTCACATGGCTGCAGCAGCTGGTGCTCAGGTAACAGAAGATCTGGACAGTCCCTGGTTCTCTAAATGCTCCTTAAAATCACCCAAGCTGTAATCAAAAAGTGAGAGGGGTGCAAGGAATTGTCAGCTGAGCACAAGCGTCAGTACCTGCCGCCAGGAAAAGATGAGTTGGAAATAAATGACCTTTCAGTCTGGGTGGACTTTTCCGCCATCTGTGACTGGGGCTGGAGTGAGTGGCAGAGCACTGTGTCTTGAGCCCCCCCCCACACACACACACACTCACCAAGAAGAGTCAGGAAGGGGGAAATGACAGCAAAGGGTAAGGTGGGGGACACCGGGGAATGAGGGCCAAAAGTGAAAGAAGCACCCAGACCTCGGCTTCTGTCCTTGGTGCTGAAGTTTATTCAAAAAAAATTATTTCCAACTGCTTTCCGAAAGGGGTGAGGATCTACCTTAATATGCAGGGTGGGAGAGGGAGAGCCCCATTGAAACCACCCATCTACATTTAGCATCAGTCGTGATAGATGAAGACAGGAAGCAGCAGCTCCAGCAGGGTGTTCGCCACACCTCAGTGACGATGAGACCAAGCTGCATGACACACCATAGGGGCTTAGGGTCTTCTGCAATCTGCCCCAGCAAATCTGGCTGCTTTTCCTCCCTGGCTGTTATCTTCGGTACTACAAAGAGAAAAATATATTGGTTTGATGATCTGGCTTTACTGTACTAAAACATTCAACTTGGCCAGTGATCCCCTATTTCCCACCAGCCACAGTCCAGCCCAATGGTCCCCTGTCATAAACTGGCAAACAAGTAACCCATAAACGTTAAGGCAGGCAGATTTAGTCCATTTCATTGAAATATGCCAGGCTCTTACAATTGTGGGAAGAACACTAACTGCCCATCAGCAGCGCAAAGGTGACTTTGCCTTTATTCTAACTTCCCAGCTGGTGCTCAGAGGCTGTAGCAGCTGTTGGCATGGTCTTGAGACTTCTGGAACATCCACATAGTGGGGCAGAACTCTCAGAAGGAATAAACACTTGCACTGGTCTCTCTGCTGCCAAAGATACTCCCTCGAAGTATTGAGTTTGCTCTCCCACCCAACCTCCATGCCATTTCCATCCACAGTTCCTCTTACCCGGAAGCTGTTGCACCCTAGTCCGCTCTGGGCCCCAATCCTGTCGATCCTACCCCCGAAGCAGCTGGACCTCCGTAGGCTCCGAGGGGCAGCCAGCAGAGCCCTCAGTTTGCTTTTCAAGAGAGCAGATCTATCGGAGGGCTCCCAGGAGCTGCGCCCAAGGGTACTGCCTTCTCTCTGCGGTGGGTTGACCTCCCCAGTCCAGGGAGGCACCTCAGGGAGGGAGTTGAGCGCTGCCCCCGGTGCCTCATCGTTCTGCTCACTCAGGGCCTGAGGGGGCACGACCTCATCTTCTAATGGCATCTTCTCCTCCAGATGGTCTAGCAGGTTCTTTACAAAGGAAAAATAAGTGCCGGGGAAGGGGGATGTCTTAGAGGAATGCACTCAGCACCAAAGAGACCCAGTCTGTGCCCCACTTCCTGGCCCTACCTTGAAATCCATCAGATCTGTGTTGGACACTGCACTGTACACAGGGTTCGCTCCAATATGGCCTGGAAGCCAAAAGGCCAGGAGCAGGAAGAAGCCCATGGCGATGGAGAAGGAGCCCATGCTGGCGAGGGTTGGGGCACGATCTGAAGCTTGCTGTCTCTGCTCACTCCTCTCCGGCTTCTCTCTCTCAGCCTTTGCCCGTCACTGTCTCCCAGCTGCCCAGTGCCTCCCGTTTTTATAGCCCCCCAGCTCTCTGAGAACGCAGGAGGGCTGGAACCCTCCCCATTCTGTCACTTGCAGCGATAAAGCGATGGAGTGAGGAGCCAGCAGAAGATGTCCTTTTAAAGTTATCAGCCCAGCAGAGCTTGTCACGGCCCCTTCTCCTTGAGCAGCTCCAGTAGCCCCCCTCCCCGAGACCCTCGTCTGCAAGAGTCACATTCTTGCTGATTTGCCTCAAGAGGCCCACACTTCAAAGGTGTGAGAAGAGCAGAAAAGAGTCCTTGGTTATCTCCCCGGGCGCGCGCCTCAGGATTCTTTCTCCCTGGCAACGGGACCCATGCAGGGAAGCAGAGGGTGACGGCTGGCCTGCACCCAGCTCCCCCTGCTTGCAGCTCAGCTGTCAGGGGCTCCAAATAAGGGTGGGAGGGGAGGAAATGACAGGCAGCTGGGAGGCCAGCTAGACCAGCTAGGGAGTGCACATGCTGGAGCTGGCTTCACACCTGATTCATCAGCCTCGTGGGTGGACCTCTGGCCCCCGACAGCCCACCCCCACCCTAGATATGCGTGTTAGCAGTCAGGTGAAAGAGTTATTTTATTTTAGAGTGTGAAGTCAGCCAGGAAGCCAGCATGATACAGGCCCTAAGAATTCAGCTACAAGTATAAACACCAAGGGACGATAGAGCGTATTTCCTCTGAAGCCCATTGTTCTTGTCTCCCAAGACTTGGTCCAAGGTGCAAGGGGACAGACAGGCTTGAAGAATGCCTCCGCTTCTCTTTCTTGGCCTTGCTGTTTTCAAAAGCTCTGAGTCTGAGTACAAAGTGTAAAATGGTCCCAGCTTCCCAGGGAATTAGAGGGAAGAAGGGAGGTGATGGAAGGGAGGGCACACAGTTCTCCATAACATTCTTCGAGACCTCCAAGGCCAAGGAAGTGAGCCGTCAAAGTCTTGACTCCTCTGGCATCTGCAGGAGCATGGACAGTCACTGAATGCTCTCGAGACTTCAAGAAGGGAGGTGATGGAAGGGAGGGCACACAGTTCTCCATAACATTCTTCGCGACCTCCAAGGCCAAGGAAGTGAGCCATCAAAGTCTTGACTCCTCTGGCATCTGCAGGAGCATGGCAGTCACTGAATGCTCTCGAGACTTCAGTGTCACCACACTCAACACTGCGCAAGCTTTGCTGTCTGACAAGCGTGTGTTTTCTCCTTTCTGTTCACTTACGGGCTGCAGCAGACCCGAATTCCATTCCCACACATTCTAATCCACTCCCGCCATTCAGGGCCCAGATAGCTGTTTTCAGGATGGCTAGTTCCGTCCTCAGGCTGTGGCTGCCTGCTGAAGTTGTCATGTGACCACAATGGCTGGAGGTCACAAGAGGTGTCTGTGGTGATGTTCTCTAAAACAGGAGAAAGAGAGAGAGAGAGAGAGAGCCCTTTGAGAAAGCTGGGGGCTGCAGGCAACCAATTTGGGCTAGCCGATCTCTACTTGAAATATGAAATCAGTGCAAGTCTTTGTGGGAACTCTGGGTCCAAACTCTGTCGCCTCCGGATGAGTCCCTGGGATGCCCTCAATGCTTAAGTGTGTGGCTGTGAATTATGAGCAAAGAGGACTCAGCAAAGCATCCCTACTGGGGGACTCAGGTCCCCTGCGGTGTGTGCCACATGGCCTGTCTCCTGGAGATTGATGGCCTTTGAATCAGGCACAGACTTGAGAAATGGCTCTGAGGCCTTCTGCCACTTTTCTGTCCTGTGCCATATCTGAAGCGCAGAGGTGGCCCTAGGAGAGGTGACGTTCTGAGCAGTCATGCTCCAGGAGGGCAATCTCAAGGCCCGCCCATCTCCTTTGGTCAAAGTCAATTTTCAAGAGTGGAACTGGAGAGGACATAAGTGCCATCCACTGAGTTTCTGTGTTCTCAGGGTTCCATTAAGGGGCAGGGATGGAGGACGCTCCGAGTGCTCTCCACGTCTCTGTGTCACCATGTTCCACAGTGTGTGCTCTGTGTCTGACAAGTGGAGGAGCCCATCACCCTCTCAGTCCAGTCCTTAAGAAGCCTTTCAGCTGAGTCCCAAATGGAAGGCAACTCAAGGTGACGTTTCTTTCCATGTCTTTGGCCCTGCTCCACTTTGGGGTGCCCAGAAGCCAGTCAGCCTTAGCTCTAGGAATGATAAAAAAAAAAGAAAGGCACGGGGGGGGGGCAGGAGCTGGGGCTGGGGAGATGCTTTGTTGTTCAAGCATGAGGACCTGAGGATAAATACTCAGCACAATTCATAGGGCTGGGCACGGCTGCCTGCACCCGTAACCCCTGCGCTGAGTGATGGAGACATGAGGCTGCCTGGAACTTGCTGGCTGCCAGCCTAGCCAAGAAAAACAACAACAAAAAATATCCCAACTTCAGGTTCAGTGAGAGGCCTTGCCTTGTGGCAGTGGTTCTCAACCTTCTTAATGCTGCGGCCCTTTAAAACAGTACCTCATGTTGTGGTGAGCCCCAGGCATAAAATTATTTCATTGCAGTCAGGCATGATAGTATATGCCTTTAATCCCAACACTTGGGAGGCAGAGGCAGGCAGATGTCTGTGAGTTCAAGGACAGTCTAGTCTACAGAGTGAGTTCCATCCAGGACAGTCAGAGCTACATATCTGAGACCCTATCTCAAAAATACCAAAAAAAAAAAAAAAAAGAGGAGGGGAAAAAAAAACACCCCAAAAAAAAAAAAATAAAAAAAAAAAAAAAAAAAAAAAAAAAAAAAAAAAAAAAAAGAGAGACGAGGAAAGAAAAATGCCCAGATACAGTAATAATTAAAGCTAAGTAACATGAACAGTAATCAACTCAGCCTCTGACGAGGATATTTGTTAGAATATTCAGGTAACTGGGAATTGGCAGTGGGGACAGGTTCCCAAGGCAGGAGTTGACTTGGGACGGCTTTGTAGCACCACTACTTCCATGAAGCAAGAGTCAGGGGCCAGGAAGTGGATAGTGAGCTAGTTCACCACTGTTATGTAATGAGCCTCTGCATTAAGGAGCTGAGTCTGAGCCGGGCGTTGGTGGCGCACGCCTTTAATCCCAGCACTCGGGAGGCAGAGGCAGGTGGATCTCTGTGAGGTCGAGGCCAGCCTAGTCTACAAGAGCTAGTGCCAGGATAGGCTCCAAAGCCACAGAGAAACCCTGTCTCGAAAAACCAAAAAACCAAAAACCAAAAACCAAACAAACAAAAAAAGGAGCCAAGTCTGTGCTGCTTGGCTGCTTGGCTGCATGGATTCATGAATGAGAATGAATGGAGACACTGATAAGGCCATTGCAAGCCTGCTGGGCAAATGCCTCTTCTCAAACTCTAGCCTGTGGCCTTTGAGACCCCAGGTCCTTGCTGTCCTCTGGCAGTGGCCTGGAGACATCAGCTCCCTGCTCCCTGGGCCTCTCTGTAGAGAAGCAATGGCTCCCCTGCCCCGCCCCTTTTAAGTCAAGCAAGAGAGAGAAAGGATGGGAGAAGGCAGTCAAGGAAGACACAGCTCCTTTACGACCTCATCTTAGAAGTGGCATCTGTCACCTTGTGCTGTATTCCACTGGCATCTCTAGGCCCTGCTTGGGGTCTAAGGGACGAGGAACTACAGCAAGGTCTGAGTGTCAAGAGGTGAAGGGTCCTGGGGACGGGGCACACCTCAGGGATAAGAAGGAAGAATAAATGTAAAACAACACGTGACTGGGCTGGCCACTGCCTTACAAAACCATAGTGACCGGGTAGGCGTGCTGGGCATCTCCTGATGGCTGCACCTTGGAAGAGTCCCCTGGGAGAGGGTGGGAGGCCAACACTGCCTCAGTTTCTCCCAGGCTGAACCAATAGAGCCTCGTAAAGCATGAGGCTGAAAAGCAACCACAGAAACTGGGGACCTGAGACGAAGGTGCCATAAGGGCGGGGCTCCCTCTAAAACATGCTTCTTCCAGCCTCCAACTGTGCTTGGCTTCTGGCTGTATTGTGACAGCCTCTGACACTATCATCTTCCCTCTGTGTCTTCTTCACCTCTTACAAAGCCACCAGTCACATTGTGGTGTTTGTGCCTGTATTCCTGTGTGCATGTAAGAAGCATGTGGTTTTTTCCAGCCCACGTGGCCTTTGAGCTCATTATACAGCTAAGGATGACCTTCAGCTCCCAAACTCCCTATCTATCCTCTTGCCTCCACCACCCCAGACCTAAGTAACAGACTTTTGCCACCATGCTCACTTTATTTGGTGCTGGCAATGGAACCCAAGGCTTCCTGCATGTTAGGCAAGCAATCTACCCTCTGGGCTACATCCTCAGCCAGAAACCAGTCATAGAACACTGGGACCACACCCTATGCCACTAGTTATACCTATAGTGAGCTCTTTGCCTAATATGGGCACACTCAGAGGCACAGAGCATTAAGCTTTCCGTATTTGGGGGGCAGGTTGTAATTAACCCCACATGGGAGATGCATAATCAGGGCCCTTCCCACCTTCCTCTCTCGATGGTGTGAGTCTCTCCTCACAGCCATTGACTTTCCCATATCCTAGTCCGTGCCATTCAGGTGTTGGCCGGGTCTGGTCTTTCCGTGAGCTGGCTTGTCAATTTCTCCTCAGCAGGCAGGCCCAACAGAGGGGCCTTTTTGGTATGTGGATAAGCAATAGCAGCCTGAGTGCCATATCAGCCACAGCTAGAAAACCCGAGGTGTGGGCAAGAGGAGCAGGTAGAAGTCAGCTTTAAGACAGGCCGTGTCCTAGCACTGACTACACAGTGTACACACACCGATTCCTTAGAAGAATACTTTCTGAATGACCGAATCAATGTGTCTGCTCTCCTTAACTCCCTTACCCGCCCCCGCCCCCCCTTTATATACCCCAACTCCTCTCTAGAGGCAGAGTCACTCTCTGGCCCAAGTGTGAAGGTTCTGACCTTTCCCCTGATGCACAAAGTATCGGATGGGGGTCCTAGGGAGGGCGGGATATTAGGAAACTGGTATAACTAAATGGTCCTAGGGTGTAAACCAGGACCAGCAGTGAAAGGAAGAAGGAGGGAGCCAGTGGGTGTGGTACCTGTTTGGGTGGTCCAGCCAAGAAAGATTCTAAGGACTGCCTCATCAAGGGTGTGGTTCTGGGCAAAAGCTTAATCACCAGGGAGTATCTCACTTTAGGCATTCCTAAACAGGAAACGGACTCCAACACAAATGGTTTATTTTGGAGATGATCGCAGGCAACAGCACCAGGCGAAGAGGGCTGCGATGGAGGGCAAGTACAAAGTCAAAACTACTTCAGACGCAGCTGCTCCAGCTCCCCCGCCCCCCCCCAGAACTCCAGACACTAGTAAAACCCGTGCTGCCTGTGACGAGAGGCAGCTGGTTACCGAACTTTGCGCCTAGTAGATGACACTTCCCCAGACTTCCTGCTGCTGCTGCGCCATGTATGCTCTGAACACCACGGAAATCCTCTGACAAAAAATGCAAGGCTGGGATAGAGATGTGGCTC